TGAAAACGATGGTTTTTGGAAATTTTGAAACTGGCCTTTTCTAGGTGTCCTAGCATTATTTTGTCTATTTGAAAAATTATTTTTATGCACAAAATCATTTTGATAATTTTTTCTAGGTTGTCTAGCATGCACATTTTCATTCCTAGGTTTTTGTCTAGGTTGTCTAGTGTCCCTAGGTTGACTAGATTTTCTATTATCCTGATTTTTAACTTTCTTATGTTGAGCCTTAGGAGGTTGTCTAGGAGTTTGCTCAACGTTTTTATCCTTAGATTTATTTTTATCAAAACCTATTCATTGCTTAGAAAAATGCATAGTGTCAAGGAGTAAATTAAGATCTTTGTGTGGTGTATTAAACTTCTTAACCGTACTCTCAAGTTTTGCAACCTTTTCTTTTAAGATTTTGCAAGATTCACATTCACTTGAAGAACTTTCTGGTTTGTCAGCGCTTCTTTTACCATAAAATTTGTTTTCTTGTTTCAACCTTTCATTATCTTTTCCAGCTTTTCAAAATCATTTTCAAGGGTTGAAAGACGTTTCTTTAGTGATTTATTGGTTTTAGAAGTGCTAACAAATTCGTCATAAAGCTCATGAAGTGCTTCTTGCATTTCTTCATACCTCTTGAATGACGTCGGTTTGATCTTCATGCGCCATGAGGCAGAGGTTGGCGGCTTCGTCCTCTTCTTGATCAGTTGACTCGTCGCCGGAGTCGCCACCCCATGAGATATAGGCTCGTTGCTTTTTGAAGCCAGGTTTGTCCTTGCTGCTTTTGCCTTTTCGACATCTTGGCTTGATGTGGCCTATCTCGCCACAGCCATAGCACTTTGGGGGACCGTCGTGCTTTCTTCCTTTCCGTTCAAATTCCTTCTTCATGAATTTGTGGAATTTCTTGATGACGAGTCCGAACTCGTTGTCGTCATCGCTTGAAGCTTCTTCCATGGTCTCCTTGGTTGCTTTCAGCGCTATTCCCTTCTTCTTTTGTTCATTCAAAGATGGGGTTAGGATAGTAGATTCATAAGTTTTGAAATTACCTCTTAACCCGTCGATGGTGACATTTGAGACTCCGATGGATTCATAGATTGCATCTGCCTTTGATCTCCATTCGGGTGTGAGACTTCGCAGGATTTTTCTCACAAGATCCTTGTTGGCGTAGGTCTTCTTGAGTGCATGAAGGTCGTTGATCATCTTTGAGAACCGATCAAACATGTCATCGATCTTTTCGCCTTCCTGCATTCTGAACATCTCGTACTCCTGCATTAGGAAGTCAATTTTGGCTTCCTGAACTTGGTCCGTACCTTCCTATTGAAAGGTAACCATGCAAGGATAGGCAGCGGAATATAAAAATTTTAACATCCTAACATGATTATCTTGCCCAGAATCACGTACTAAAACTTATAGTAGTAAGAAATTTGTACCTTTCTCCGTAAGCGGTAAAAACGAAGAAGTCGTAGGAAGAGCGTTGAAAGTGCAAACGTAACCGTTTAAGCGTCTGGTCTCCAACTTTGACACACGAACAACGCCGGAGTCTACCACAATCTTTATGCTAGTAAAGATTATAGTAGTATAAAATATAAAGATTAAAATTGGGATAATAATAATCTTGTATATTTCTATAGAAAATATTTCTAATAATATTTAGAAAATATTATAGATATTTTCTATACACAAAATGATATTAATGGAACAAAAGAAGTATTTCTCTCTCTAAAATGTAATGGCCGAAATTTTTCTTTTTTTT